GATTTTTACACAGATTTGATATTATTTTTGCTTTCTCTCATAGCATTCATGTTACAGTCTTCACTATACCAGGGTACTCATTCAGCAGTAACAATAACAAGCTAATATTATAGTGTCTTCGAAAACATAGTTTAAGTTCAATTTTAGATTTGTCTCAGCTTTGGATCAGCCAGAAAGCCCTAATGCATAGAAGTACTAAAGGTCATATTATGATTAACAATTTTAGTTTGATGCCAGACCCAGATTTAAAAATGATGAAAAGTGTACCGAAAGTACTTTGTATGCATTTCATTCATTACTATATTCATCACTATACAGTGGTGTGTAAAAAAATGTTTGCCTCTATCTGATTACCTATTTTTTTTGTATGTTTTTCACACTTAAATTTCAATATTAGACAGAGATAGCACAAGTAAACACAAAATGCAGTTTCTATATGAATATGCTTATGAAGGTGTTATAATGTAAATTACCTTTGGTTTATCACATGTTTGGAAAGTGTTTAATTTCTCTAGCCACACACAGGCCTGATTAGTGCCACACCTGTTCACCTGAAATCACTTAAAAGGTTGTTAAGATCTCCCAATTCTTTGAATCTTTGGGCTGAAGGAAGGACAATACCCGGTGTATAAATGCTCAATCAACAATCATTTATTTCCATACAATGAGCATAAACCATCCGGATGGGGAGACATGCATGAAGAGGGTCACAGCAAATCTCAAAATGGTGACGGGTTACTCAGCTTCTTATAGCCTCTAGTGGCCCCCACCTAGTCGTAAAAGCCTAAACATTCACATTCTTTCTCTGTTATGGCGCCTAAGTTATGACCTCGGCTCCCTGTCCTTCTGCTCTCTGTAAAGGTGGGGGTATGGAATGTGGTCTGTCTCTTCTATTATCAGCACAAGGTCCTCTGCACACAACATTCTCTTCATGATTCAGCAGTATGAAATGTCAAGAAACAGTGTAACACATTCACAGCAGATCAAGGGTACAGGGTAATCCACACCTGTCTAACAAATCCAAAAATGGTCACATTCTTTTAACCTAAAAATATAATGGAAACTAAGCTACATACACAGCACACAATCTAGACTAAAGGATATTATATGACCTACAGCAGTTAACATAATTCAACTACTTTAACTACAGATATAAGATAACATATGATAACAGAATAATCTCACAGGCCCTCCCTGACAAAGTGGACTAGACCAAAAATTCCTCAAAGGCCATCATGCTGCAATCCAAGGAAAATCAGGAACAATGAAAAACAACAAACAAATAATTAAGAGCTCTGAGTCTGGAGAAGTTTATAAGGTTATAAAGCCATTTCTAAAGCTGTGGCACTCAAACAAACCACAGTGAGATCCATTATCCACAAATGGCAAAAAAATGGAACAGTGGTGACTCTTCCCAGGAGGGGCTGGCCGAGCATAATTACCCCAATAGTGAAATTATCGTCTAAGATGTCACAAAAGACTACAAAACAACATCCAAGAAACTGGTAAAAGACTCATTGCCATTCATCACAAACACTTGATTGCCATTGTTGCTATCAAGGGCCCAACCAGTTATTGGGTTTAGGAGACAATCATTTTTTCCACACAGGACCACGTAAGTTTGGATTTTTTTCCCTTAATAATTAACACCTTCATTTAGAAACTGCATTTTATGTTTACTTCTGTTGTCTTTGTCTCATATTTACATTTATTTGATGATTTAAAATATTTAAGTGTGATAAACATACAAACCAAAAAAAGGAAATCAGGAAGGTGGCAAACAGTTTTTCCACATCACTGTATCATAGAAACATGTTAAAATAATCTGAATAAAAAGTAGCAAAGTGCATGAAAAGCAAACATTGTATCTCTGCCAACCTAAGCAACTATTTGATAACAGGTTTGTCACATTATCTTAAAATGTGCATATATGAAAAGTGACAAGGTTGTGTGTAAGAGGCGTGAAAAGTAACTGATCCTGTTGCATATACATTTCTGGGAGTTCCTATCTCAAAATGCAAAATGTACGGATGAGAAAGAATCAGGTGCCCAAACTGATTTACTAACATTTGTGACATGCAATTTGCTGGTAATTGTCCTGGCATTAGTTTTTTGCACTTAATTTTGTGGCAGTCGTTGCATTGCTGAGAAGTCTTTACAGAGATTTAAGAACATAATAGGATTGTAATTTCATTGTACATGAACAATGACAATAAAGGGCAATTCTATTCTAAGGAGACATTTCTCCACTTATGTCATTTGGACCATGAGTGACATGTTTAGCCATATATTCTCCTTAAAATGCTGGCTGTGAGTGCTGTCCGAAAAAAAATGTGGGCTTTGTAGATAATTGGGAATCTTTCTGAGGAAGACCTAAAGAGCTGGCGAGCTTTTATTTCTGGAAATCTGAACAAATGTATAACACCCCCCCCCCCACCCCCCCCCCACAAAACACACACATCTATTCACACACACACACACACACACTCTCACACACAAAAAAACAACATTCAGCAAAAAACTATTTAAGCTCAAAAAAAAAAGAAAAGAAAGAATGACATAGCTTTCTAACAGTACTAAAAATCAATATTTCTAATCAATTATTCTTCCTTTCAACAGGAAGGGGCAGCCACCTGCTGTGACCCACCGGTACTTTTCCTACAGACTGTTTTATCCAAGCTGTACAGTTACCAAAAGTTGCCAAAACGAATAAATGGTTTGACAGGTGAATGCAAACCATGTTTGCATTCTGAAGTTTTCTTATAAGCAGTTTTTATAGTTGAGTAGCAAGGAAGTTACCAACTATGTTATCTGATAAACTTGCCAGGAGACCAACTTTGCCTAGCATTTCTTTAATTGTATTACTCAGTCATACTTTAAATTGACACTGTAATTAAAATTTGTTGCAACAAAGGAACTGATTGTCCTCTTGTCTCTCCTCTTGTTGTTATACATACAGATTATCCAGAGAGGATTCACTTTGTCATAGAATTTTGAGGTGAAAAATGAATTTAGTCCATTTTGGAATAAAGCTACAACGTGACAAAATTAAAAAACAAGTGAAGCACTATGAATACTTTTTAGATACAGTATGTATTTAAGGACTTTGGGGTTTTTGTTCAGGTCTGCAGCTGGTTTGTGTTATTGTGGTTTCCTGGCACAGTAATACACAGCAGTGTCTTCAGGCTGCAGATTCTGTCCATTTAGAGTCACTGTCTTGCTGGAAGAATCTAAGCTGATACTGAACTTGTTCTTTAATGAATCTTTGTAGAGTGTGCTATGTCCAACACCTGACCCAGTCCTTTCCCTGCAGGCTGTCTGATCCAAGCTGTCCAGTAAGTGCTTATAGAATAAGTGACTGATAGTCAGACGTTGACCTGGCTGCAAAGTCAAAGGGCCTGACTATGTCAGCTGTTCACACTTTACACCTGTAAAGAGAGAAGCATATTTCAAATTGTGCAGTTACAGATAAATTGGTTATTATGACAAATGCAAACCATGTATGATAAATCCAGAGAAACCTACATGATCCAGCTGCTAACAGTAGCAGAGCTACAGACAACATGGTTTATGGTCAGATTTCTGGTATCTCCAGCCAAAAAATATGAGGAGGTTTTTATGGCTGAGTAGCGAGGAAGCTCACTGAGTTTGCATAGAATAAACCACACGAGGCACTATGTAGCCAACAGAAGGGTGACTGTTCTATTTAAAAAAAACTTTTCATGATAACTTTGCCTAATATTTGTTTAATTGTATTCACACTTTCACAGCCCCCCACAATGAAACTGAATATTAAACTACATTTTCCTAACTTTTTTTGCTCAAAGTTGTTCCATGAGCACAGATGGACCTGCACCTGTCTTTTTGTATTTTCAGAGCAAAGATTTGCAGGTTAAAAACTGGGAGTGATATAATTATTTGTTTGCCAGGAACCATGAACAAAAACATCTCCTGAGATAAGAGATGCATTAAACAACATTTAGCTCCTAGCTAATTTCCATCTGCAGTCTCTGGTCAAACAACAAATAAAATATTTAAAAAAACTCACATTGTCATGGAAATTTTTTTATATATATAATTAATACAACTGACAATTCATGTAGTGTTATACTTTCAGTGTATCCTTTAGAAAAACTTTCAGAAGTATTTTTTTCCAGTATAATTCTACAAATTTAAAGCAAATAAAAAACTCAGCAACTTCTCATTATGTAGCTGTTGAGATGCCAGGTAATGTACCTGAAAAGTTATACATTTCCTAAAGTTGTGTCAATAAATAATGTAACCAACTGTTTATTAAGAGGTTTGCCATGCCACCTTAAAATGTGACTATAAATATGGTTTTATGTGTTTTAAATCTTTCTTTTGTTGCCCCCAACACTGTTTTTATTATTTATTACTGACATCTACCTACAGCATTCTCTTTTAAACATTCAGAAATTTACTGCTGTAAAAAAGTATTGTGACCCACTGAAACACAAAGACAGAAACCACAACAACAACGCTCCTTTTATAGTGTGTACATGTTTACATGTATTTCAGGCCTTCAAATCAGTTCATGTTCAATTTTCTGTCACCCTTAGGTGGTTATAAAATATTTTCATTGAGTCTTTATGCTAAGTTATACAAAGTTTTAAAAGGAATTATTTCTGAAAAAACACCTTTCACTGAAATGTCACAAGAGACAAAAAAAATGTACAATATTTAATACTGACAATATATTTGAGTGTGTCTGGACATTTTGTTCAGCTTCTCATAAACCTGATTTCCCAACAATTTGAATTGAATTGAATAAGATGAAACATTAAAGCTAAATTGATTTAAAATAAAACACATGGATAAAGGTTTGTTTTCTTTACAACAAGTTGGACCAAAGCATTTTTACTCATTTTATTTATTTCTTCAAATTTTAAGCTGTTGTCCAGTCATTTGTGGTCTGAGGGCTCCTCCTCTGGCAGCTTCATGTAAGTGATCAGGCTCTGAGGGGTTTTTGTTGGCTTGTGTTATTGTGCATCTCTGGCACAGTAATACATGGCAGTGTCGTCAGGCTGCATATTCTGTCCAATTAGCGTCACTGTTTTGCTTGAAGTGTCTAAATCAATACTGAACTTGTTCTTTAGTGAATCTTTGTAAGCTGCTTCTCCAGTATATCTGGCACCGATCCACTCCAGTCCTTTCCCTGCAGGTTGCCTGATCCAGCCTGTCCAGTGGCTGCTAAGAGAATAAGATCCCTGACAGGTGATGGTCAGACGTTGGCCTGGCTGCACAGTTTCAGACCCTGGCTGTGTCAACTGCTCACACTTTACACCTGTAAATAGAAAAGAGTTTTTAACAGATGATCGAGTAAAGCTGTTAAAGATAAACTTGTGAGTATGGCAAATCCAGAGAGACTCACGTGATCCAGCTGCCAACAGCAGCAGCAGAGCTACAAAAAACATGGTTTATGTTGAGGGTGATGTTTTGCTATCGTCACCCCAAAGTGTGAGAGTTTTTATTGCTGAGTTGAAAGGAAACTCACCGAGTTTGCATAGAATCAAACACATTAGGCAGGAGTACCAGTTATAACTGTTAGTAGATACGTAGTAATAGTGTCAGATAAACTCACAAGGAGATCAAATTTACCTTACATTTATTTGAATTTATTACTTTTACTTACTTTACTTACATTTTGCCCCTGAAAAGAAATTGAAGGTCGAATGACTTTTTTCTCATAACACATCCCTGTTCCACAGATTTTTTTAGTCATTAGTCATTCCTCACGTACAGAAATACACCGTGTATTTACATTTTAAATTATATAATTTAATTGTTGATGTATTTAAAATATTTCTCCTGTACTTATGTTTTTCTGCACATTAATGTAATTACTTCATCTTTCAGTGTTTGCAGAATGGGATCCACAGTAAAATCAGGCAATTGATGCAATTTTTATTGTTTGAGTCTACTATTGTTTCATTCATTTTCATCAATAACTGTAATATTTTAGTACGTTAATTATGGTTCCCATGGGTGAAGCTTGTACAAGGCAGTTGGGGCAGCTTTAGTGGTCCTCTGAGTAGGATGCAGGGCAGCACCAGTGTGAATCATTGCACAAACATCTAGCATCCTGCCACATTGTGCTTAATTTAATTTCCATGTGACAAAAGGTGTTGAAGACATTTTAACATAGCAACACAGATATTTAACAAATATGTTATAGTCACGTAAATACATTATCAGTGTGTAAATCCAATTTTTATGCTAATGACACGTTAGTTAAATAATAAATATGATTATTTTGTGTCAAACACTGCCTCACCTACAGTAGCTACTTGTAATATAGACATATAAACGCTGTTAAGTCTAATTGGCCAAAGTTAAGAGGCCATGCTATGAAGCTCAATTCACTGACAACTTTCTAAGTCACCAAAATTGCTAATTCATGTTGCTGTATGTATATTTTTGACCCAGCAGATGTGATCACTTTTTTCTGTTAACCCATAATATAGTCTTAAAAGAACCAAACTTCATGAATGTTTTTGTGACAAAGAAGTATATGTTCCAATCACTCTATCAGAGAAAAATCTGAGTTTTAGAAATAACGGGACACTCAGTAGAGCCATTATATTATATTCTTTACAAGTGTATGTAAACTTTTGACCACAACTGTAAGAACAAATAAAAACATATTTTTAAGAACAGATAAAAACTAGGATGTGTCAAATTTAAAGTTTAAGTTAAATTAAACCCAAGGGTGAACAGGTGAAGTACTAAAGTCAGATGTTGTTTTGCCAACCTTGAGGATCGATCGATCTATCTATCTGTCTGTCTATCTGATAGATAGATAGATAGATAGATAGATAGATAGATAGATAGATAGATAGATAGATAGATAGATAGATAGATAGATAGATAGATAGATAGATAGATAG